GCTCCCGGGAGGAGAGGCCTGATGGCTCCCGATTAGACTGACTTGCCACTTCGAAAGCTGAGAGTGCGTCCTCAGGGCAGCGCCTCCACCTCAGTGGCGCACTGATCTCTGGCCTCTCTAGGTCGGACGGGCCTCGGAGGTGCCTGGGAGACGGCCGCAAGCAATGCCTGGCATCTGAGCGTCCAGTTTTCCCTTGTGATCCAGAGTTGCGCTATTTTTCTTCACCCTTTAGACCCACTGTTGTTAGCTTGTTAATACAGTTCCCAAAAAATGTCCCTTCAAAGACAAAGTTCTGCCCAACGCGCGCGGCCTTCCCTAGAGAGCGGAAAGGGACAGGCGAGGGTCAGCTCGGCGCCTGGGGACGGGTCTGAGGTCTCTCCCTGCTCCTCATACCTCCCTCTTAACCCCACAAGTTCATCTCTCTTAGTGAGGTGGTCACCCCAAGGCCTGACGGATGGCCTTGAACCGCGCCAGAGAACAGAACCTGCGGAGGCCCTGGGCGCCCCCGACTGGGAAAGACCCAGATTCGACTTAAGCCAAATCTAAGCGCCCCCAATTCTCCTGAATTCTCAGGCTAGACTCCCACTTGCAAAGGTGAGAAGAATGAGCCCTAGGGCGAGTGCATTTTCCCCCCCCCCGAAGCAACTCCCTGGGCGGCCTGCATGAGAACTGAGAAGGGCCCAGACTGGAGTGGGGCGGAGCGCGGGCTAGGGGCCGGCACCGAGGCCTTCTCCGTGGACGCGAGGCCTGGGGGCAAGCCAGGGCCCAGACGCGGGCGGTGGGAGCTAGGGAGGTGGGCGGGAGAGGGCCGGGATAGGGAAATCCACGCCGGGTTTTCCTCTCTCAACCCCTTCAATGTGTCAAAGAGAAAAGCGTTTTTTACAAAGGATTATACTTGAATCACTTACAGTCAGTATTAAAAAAATACAAGGATGCATAACTGGGAATTTTTTTTTTTTTTTTTTATTTTTTTTTTTTTTATATGTATTTGGTTAAAATTTAAACTGGGAATTTTTTTTTTTTTTTTTTACAGCCATAAACATCTGCATAACTCTTGGATGCTGGTGGGTGGCAGTCACATCGGGCTGGCTTGGCAGGAGCACTCAAGATCTAACTTGAGGGGGATGAACGGTTAGGCACGGACGCCTTAATAATGCGAATCCTGATACTACTACTATTAAAGGCAGAAGGAAAAAACTCTCTGTGTGTCTCTGTCCGTCTCTGTCTCTTTCTCCCTCTCTCAGGTTTCTAGTTTCTCATTTGTTCCTATCCTTAGATGACGGGGTGAGGGGAGCGGAGGCGGAGATGCCGAGCCATCGTTGACATCTCATTTTCTTTTAAGCCCTCCCTGTGATGCCCAGGCCCCTGGGACCGTCTGCTGCTCTCGGCATTCTTTCTCCTCCGTCCTCGTCAACAGTTGAGTGGTTTGATACTGTCCCGTTGAGCTTTCACCCAGCATGTAATGCGCTGATTACCTCCCTTCTCTGCTTCTCTCCCCCGGCCCCGAAAAGCCCCATCGCGGCGCGCCGGGTTCCTCGGAGGGGACAGGCGGAGAGGCGCATCGGCGTCCTGGGCTGCTCCAGCTGCGGACCCTCGAGGGCGCCCCTGCGGCTGGCCGCTGGGCGACATCAAGGCACTGTTCCCTCCCAGGCGGGCCCCGCGTCGGAAATCCACAAGACCCGGCTGCCCGCGTCTGGGTGACTTGCGAGTCGGCTGCCCACACTCAGGGAGTGGGCTGCGAACGAGGCCCAGAAAGCCCGTGTTCAACAAGAGACCCAAACGCTCAAATCGTTGCCGAGCGCCCAAGGGGCCTGCAACTCTCTCGGCAGAAGATTTCCTCGCCTCAGTCCGTTCCCCTCCTCCGTCTTCTACAGCTGCCCTCCTTCTATTAAAAAGGAGTCGGACTTTCTGCTGGGGGGCTAGTCTAATTTCAAGCCTCCACTGTAAAGGGGGAGGATAACATAGACTTTCTGATTCTGACTGAATGCCCTCTAGGAGTCCAGCGACTTCTGTTAATGGCATGGGAAGTATATCTCTGGGAAACCTGTGTGAAGACACTTGCTTTACTGGTTGTGTTGTTTGATTTCTTTATTGTATCTTTCTGATCACCCTTCCCAAGTGAGGATACTATTGGGAAGACAAGTCCATTCACCTCGGGGAGAAGGGCCAGCTCACTTGACACCCAGACACCCAGCAGCCCTGCCATGAGATCTTGGTCACATTCAGTACCCCACTTCAAAATCGCCAATGGACTCTTGTAATTCCTGAGAGAAAAATAAAAATAAATAAATAAATAAACCAAACTCAGAAACTTTGGTGGCATGCCTAAGGGAGACAGAATTTGCTAGTGTTTCCATGGTATCTAATCAGAATATGTGTTTCGGATGTATGCGTGTGATTCTTTATGTTATTATTATTATTATTTTAAATAAAAGGTTTCTTCTATATCGAAGAAGACTGAAATTGGTTTGATGAGTAGGTAGACTTTGAAGAGCTGGACTATAGGACGATTTGGAAAAGAAGTTGTAGTTGAGCACAATGTACTATTTACTGTCACGTCACTTTCTTTTCGCCTCACCTTCTTAACTTTCTCTTACCCACTAATCAAAGTCATTTCATTTTGGTGATATTATCCACGTTTGTTCATTGTTACTCAGAACACCTGGTTCCTTTAATCTTTGGATCTGCAACTATTGTTTGCTTTTTCTGGGTTGTCCTGGGGGGGAACAATGGTTTGAGGTTCATCTGCTTGGAAAATCAACCAGTAAGAGAAGAATGACAATTAAGGTTGGAGGTAAGGGCCGGACGTGTTGAACGCTCTTGTTTATGATTAAAAAAAAAAAAAAAAAATGAGCCTTGTCCCCAGGACTGGAAATAATAATTACCTACAAGAGACGAATGGAAGAAACCCTTTTCCTTTCTATGATGAGAGCTAATTCGACATCGCAGTTTTACAATTATATTTGCCAGAAACGCGGGATAAGGGGGTGGCAGTTAGATGTCATTATCCGGGAAGGGAGGTGTTTGGAGGAGAGCTAACCTCACACACTTTTCATTGGAGATGTTTTAATTTATCGTCCAATATACACATAGATATATAAAGGTGTAATGGGCTTCCAGCTACACCGCCAGCTCAGGTCCCCTTAAATTATGCTCAATTTCTTCAAAACATATATTTAAACAATAGAAATAAACTTCATTGGAGACTGGCGACCAATTTGGAAGCCATTGGAAGGGAAGACAATAAGTCTTGATTACACGGGAGGATTCTCTGTGATGTGAGATCCCCCTGTGCCAAGTCATTTTGCTGTTTTATTTATTTCATTTCTTTCTCTCTTTTTCTTTTTCTTTTCTTTTTTTTTTTTTAAACAAACTTTCATTCATTTATGGTCTTCTGCAACCTAATTTAACACTGGAGCGCGTTATTGCAGTGTTAGGAGGAGAGAAAGAGGGAGAGAAAACAACAATACTGCAATGATCCAAATGATACAGTGGAATTATAGCAATTATAGTTCTACTTGTGGAAGAAAACCTTGCTGAGATAAGGCAAACAAACTGAAGCCTTGTGAGGATAACAAGCGTCGCGATTGACAGCCAGTGCTGGGAAGAGCCGGAGGGCACACACAGAAATATTTGCCCCCCCCCCCTTAACTCCAACCTGTCAAGGTTAACCTCCTCAAACGCTGCTTTCAGCGTTGGACCGACTTCTGGGTCTGCGTTTTCCACCCAGAATCCAGTGTCAGATTACTCAATAAGCAAGGTAAGCACGGGCTTACTTGTGCTTACTTACTAATCAGTAGTGAAAATTTCACATTTCTTGCAGCACCTCAAGGATTCTGCTTCTAGGTATGGCTGGCATCTGTCTCTTTCCCAACCCCGCAGCACCTTCCTACAGAATCAAAGCCTCCTTTCAAATTTGCAATCCTTGACAGGGACCCAGTACCCAGTCAACAAGGTAAGCACGGGCTTACTTGTGCTTACTAAGTACGTACAAGTAAGCCCGTGCTTACCTTCTTGAGTAATCCACCCCTGGCCCAGATCCAGGTCTGTCCTCTTGGAAGTCTGAGAACAGGAGGAAATGTGACATAATCCGCTTGCCTAGCACTTCCCCCTGGCCTCCCCGGCCCCGGCTTGCCCTTCCGGCCTCCCCCTTGGCCTCGGGCACCTGTCTGTGCAAGGGGTTGGTTTCCTGATGTGTTTTGGGAAGCAGCCTGTGGGACGGTCCAAAGGAACCGAGGACTTGGGTTGCCAGGGGAGACTTCCTCGCGCTGGCTCTGGCGCCGTGGCCCGAGGCTCGGCGCTCAGGGCTCGCCGGGGTAGCTGGCTGGGAAGCAGCTTTTTGCGCAGCAGTGTCCCCAGGACCACAGCGAGCCCTCGAGGTACGATAGTGTGAGTGCGATTGCTGTGACAGGACAAC